CATTTATGTTACATCTCTTTTCCCTAATTTTTCATAAGTTCTATCTATTTCCTCTCTTTTCTATACGCCAAAAATAAAAATATGCAGCGATGCTGCCCCATCAACATGACAAAAAAAGAATAATAACATTTTATCTTATATTCGATGGACGAACGTTAAAACATTTCACTGTATTGACTGTATATGACCTTTTTTCGTCGAATTTGTTCGACTCATATCAAAGAGAAACAAAAATATTTTTTCTGCTCTTCATCGTATATTGAGAAACAACTACAACGACACTGGAATATTAGATGAAATAATTTTGAAATAATCTGTACGTATTTTCTTATTTTTTTAGTTTAACTTTCATATCATCATCTATGAAATAGTAGTCTCGTTTCTACCTGGGATCCATACGAACCTCGGCTAAAAAACCAGTAATAATGTACAAAGTTATGATTAGTTTAACAAACGTGTGGAAGTATATAATAGACTTTATTACAAGAAGACCAAACAGGAAAGTAAATGATTTATTTTAGATTTGTTCAACCATTTTCAGCCTTTTATTATTTCCCTTTCCCTATGATGTTTCAAAATATGTACTGCAAAATGAGTTCTCATGAGCACATCTGGTCACTACACCCCATGAACAACGACTGAAATTGATTTGTCAATATAACACACGTAATCTATTACCCTTCGCTAATATACCCTGAAAGCATCATAGTTTGATCGGATGTTAAACATGTATAGATTGGAAAAAGTAATGAGCTGTTCGTAGGGACTCCAGATAGTGAAGAAGTATTGAGTCGTGCTTTGAGCTACTACATCACAGTAATAATCACTGGATTTGATTGATTGATGTTGTCAGCATATTCTATTAGCCTTCATTAAAACGCATATAAAAGGACGAGATTTCATCTAGTGTTATTTAAACATAACCACAAAATAAAATTCACTAGGATCTGTGCGGACTCCAGTGGTGATATAAGGGTTAGTTTAATTAAGATGTTGAAATTACGTACTTAAGGAACAGAAAATTGTGTCTTTCTTTATTATCTTAATACTATCGAAATACACTAATTGCTCATCGCTGCTTGAATAGGTTTTTTTTACTTCTTTAATGTTACGTCTTGATTGTAATTGAAATTTACTCTATTCTGACTAACAAACGAAGATTTTATTTTCTATGCAGAATAAAGGAAAAGAAATTTATTGTCTCAAACTTTAAGAGGAGACCTCTTTTCCAAGCAAAAGTGACATGGTTTTTGAAAGGGTCTTCAATAGTTTGTTTCTCCTGATGTCTAAAATCGATATTTTTCAAAGAAAAAAACACACTGAGATCTAAATCCCATCGCATGTATTTATGTATCGCTCGATGTATATCCGCGCATCCATACAACAAACGTAACGATATATATATAGGGCGATGACAAATAATGGAAAATCCAATAGATGATGAACAACGAAAGGAAAATCTATAAGACAATATGAAAGAAAGAAAGAAAAAGTCCATCATATATATTTGACATGAAAGGAAAAATCTATAGCAACAATAGAAGAAAAGAAGAAAATGAGCGTATATGTATAATCCTATAGAGAAGAAGGGAAAAAGCCTTATGATCGCATCTGAAGAAGATGCAGATTATAACAAACACGCATCTTAATTTGGTTCTAGTTTTCACAGAAAAAATTTCAGAGCGAAATAATGAAGTATCGAGTTTTGCAGAAGGAAACTTTTACTCATTTTTTTTTGTCCTTGTGACTCAAATATTTTTCGGAAGAAAGCATCTGGTAATTTTGAGTGTATAAAAAGTTTTGCTCTACTCATTGAGATCGATCTGCCCTGAGAGTTCCATAAAGTTTCGCCTAGCCGTTTTTGAGAAACTTCGAAAAGCGAGGATTCTCGTAAGTATATGTATCACTGAAATTTCGAATGAAAGTTTTAGCCGTTCTTATTCTTTCAATATCCTACCGATATGAAAATATATCTTAGTTCTTAATAAACAGATTGATGCTGTAAAACATATGTGATAAGCGTTTGAATTTAAAGGAAAAAAAGTCAAATGTCATTCACAAATAATATCTCTCTAGATATGTTTTCACTATGAATCGATCTTTTAAAGGCATGCCTATTGTTCTTTAAAAATAGATTCATCATATTCAATTCTGCTTGCGAAACACTGGAAGTTTTAAAAGTCTATCTTGATAATACCTTCACTTAGATGTCTTTAATATTAGTGCAACTATGATGGGTCTGAAATTATTAATAAAATGATCTTTCATTATAGATTGAAACTTTTATTTATTTTGAAATGATAAAAAAAAAGAAAAACGAAAAAGCTTTTTCTAAATACAATATAGAAATTAATACTAAGATATTAAATTTTGAAGATGCGAGATTATTATTGACTAAGTAAGTTTGTATTAAATTCTGTTCTACTTTGGACAGAAACAAATAGATAACAATTTTTATCATAGGTTCTGATTAACAACATATGCAGCCATTCTGAAGAATTTGGACAGTTACGAAAAAATTGAAAAAGATTTCTTTTTATGATATAATGCTTAAAATATCTGAAATTTTCATTGTACAAACTTTTTTCATTCATGCACAATCTATCTATAGATTGAATGTCTCTAATAAAAAGCGAAAATTAGTGCTTTATGTAGTTTGATTCACTATAGATTTGTTCGATATTCAATCGAAAATATTTTTTTTAAGAGCATAATACAGAGGTGTAGAAGATACTCGTCTGTGCCAACACTGCTGGAGAAAAAAATTTTGATTCCTAGGGACCTTTTTAGAAAATTGTTGAGGAATAAGACCTTCATTAGGGGGGCGAAATTTTTCGAAATCACGGCGGATTTTGCATTTCTGCAATAATCCTTTAAATGTGCTCTTTTAAATATTGTGAAGTTAAAGTGAATATTCTTCCTTTGTTTTCTATTCTTAACAATGCAGTTTATTCATTCATTGTCATAGTATATCAACGAGAAAGTGCACACATCGCTGCATCTTAAAACATTAATCTTCACCAACAAATAAGATATGGCATACAACATGTTCTAGAAAAAGTGGCGTTTTTTACTGCAATATAAAGCGTAGGTCAACAATGAGTTAAACAACATAAGTTATTAATTTTTCGTCATCATTGAAAATATTTGCCTTTTCATATATCTGTACAACAAAAAATTTTTTTTTTAGTCCAATAATCAGATCAAAAATTAAATTGACAGAGTTATAAGATCGAAAGTATTGATTTATTATTTATTATAATTGTATAACATTAATACGACGAGAAAAATGCTATGTTTACTTACTAAAGAGTCTTACTAATATCTCAAGACTTAGAGAACTTTTTATTTTAAAATGATTTTCTAATTTAATTAAAAACTTTGAATTTTAGTTACATTGAAATAATCTTGAAAAATGAATATAATTTGTTTTTGGTTTTTGTTTCGTTACATCAGTCATTTGATTGACGATCAATAGTGATTGAATCTATAAAAAGAAAAGTAAAACATATCTTTCTTTTTAGATAAAATGATCAGTAGAATGGAAACATTACCTAATGAAATTCTTCTTCATATATTTTCTTATCTTGAATGGTTCGATATGTTAACTTCTTTCTGGTTATTAAATATTCGCTTCAATTCTCTTGTATGTTCAACTCTTTCGATAAATGACAATCGATTGAACAGTGGTCTTATTATTACACATGGTTTATCATATAATAAATGCTGTTCAATATTATTTCCATTAATTTTCAATTCATCATCTCTTTGTTCTTCTATTCAACGTATTCATTTGGATGGAACAAATTCAATTGCTTGTGATCTTAGTTATGAATGGTTGTTGAATGACAAGAAAATTCTTCGTTTTCCTAATCTAAAAACACTTATTCTTACTCGATGTGGATCAATTGAACCAGTAGCTCAATGTTTATCTTATCTTATTAAACATCAATTGGATGAACTTACATTAACATTTGATGGACATGTATTCAAACGGTTTCTTTATATAGAAAAATATTTGTCCATGGCTTCTGATCACGGTAACCGACCATTTACTCGATAGATTCTATAAAACAAGATGGGATAATTTGTCTTGAAGAAATTATCCTTAACTACAACCATTCACATTCTATATAAATTCTTTTACTGAAGTAAAGAGGAATATTTAGGTGTCAAACAATAAGATTTACTTTGGAGAAAACTTTTAGATGAAAATCTATATTTGATAATTATTGTCAATCATTATTACTGAGTGAAAATCTAGTAAAATGGTCATCTAGCTGAAGAACACAGGAATATGATCGTGAATCAACCTAGTTTTCCTCTTGTCTCAATACGTCCTATCGGATAAGGTGAGTGTCAGCTTAAAATTGATTTATCACATCATAAGATTCTCATAAGACAGAAATTGATATGATAAGTAATAACGTCCAATTTAATAATTTATTATTTCCTCGTTATGGAAAACAAGCATTAGATGTGAATGAGTAGTGTGTCATTATGAATAAATTTTGATTCATTGTCAATTGTATTGATGATTATCTTAAACATGTTCTAGTCATTTATTCATTGAAATGTCAACTAATTGTTATAATCACTCTGTTGACTCAACAGAAATATAATAAAATTAGTTTTATCATTTTTCTATATTTATTTTCAATATTTGATATATGGATTAATCAGAAAAATAAGAAGATTTTGTATATATGAGTTTTACATTACTGAACCTAAAAATAAAAAGAATTTTCCAAAATAAAAATATTTTCTTTTGAATAATAAAAAATCTTTCTCTTTTATTTTTTCTTTGATAAATAAGAGAAAAACAACTGGCCATGATCGAACAACTTCTTTGTCAATTATTCTCTTCTCAATGTCAATTAACATCTCTTCGACTTGATATCAGCGATGACTTTAGGGATGGTACTAGTATTCGTCCATGTTTACTATCAAACTCTAATTTCTCTTCCAATTTTCTTCCATATCAACTTCGATCTTGCTGTATGACTCTTCGTCATTTACATATTCGACTTAATCAGACATGTTTTTTCTACAATCTTATTGAACATGTACCGAATCTCGAACAAATGTCCGTTCAGTTTAATTGTTCATTGTGTCCATATTCATATGTATTACCGACATCAAATATTGAAAGCTTGAGTCAATCAAACGAAAATTGGTTTAATAAGGTAAGAAAAACAAAGAATAATCATCTTTTTTTTATTTGATGAATTCTTAAAATATCTATTTCTTTTGATTGATAAAAAAAAAATAATCATATCGTTTCAGATACCAAAACTACGATGTTTTAGTTTAACAACTTTCATTGATACTGATTTGGAATTTATTTCTTTGAAATGGCTTCTCAACAATTTAAATTATGTTGAAAAACTTGAAATTCATCTTAAAAGTTATGGATTTATCGAAACGAAACGTCAAAATATATGGAAATCTTTTATTGATGCGAATTTCATTCGTCAATATTGTTTACCTGAAACAACACCTAATTTAATTGATTTCAATTTTTATATTTGCTCAGAATGTGAATTATCATATAATGATATAGAAAGAATAACTAATTCATTTAAAATTCATCCTTTTTTTATTTCACATCAATGGACAAATGTCAAATGTTTGTTTGATCGAATAATATCATGTCAACATCTTTTCTCTTCTTTTACTAATAAATTTCAATTCTCTAATTGTCGAATGTAAGATATTTGCTTTTATGAAAGCTCTTATAGATTCTCAAATCAACTATATTCTTTTTCTTTTAGTAATCATCCCTATATTTTCAACTGGCCATATGTTGATGATCTTTTCTCTAACACATGTCCGTCACTTTATTTATTTCTTGAACAATTCAATGAATTATCTCCCAACATTTCTTGTATCAAAGTATACAAAAGTAAATTGTTCTCCCATTTCACTCATTCTTTTGATGATCGAAGAAGTAGATAGACAACAAATTTCAACATATTCACATAATTTCGTAATAATTCTTGTAAAAAACGATAGAGAAAAAGAGAAAACATTAATTTTAATCGAAACAATTATATTAGAAGAAAGCTTTCTCATGAGCATTCATCTATCTTGTTGTCAAATAAATCTAGTAGAAAAATAGTAAAACAATATGTAAAGTAAATAAAATTTCTTTTGTTTATAGAGCGTGGTATGGATTTTAAGAAGCCAAATTTCCTAATATCATTGGAAGTTTTATCCAAAATGAGACAATACAATGGAATTGATTTTCGTTTTCGAAATGTTACGAAAATTCAATTTGGAACACGGTTTGATCGGTCGTGTGGTTAGTATTAACCTTGTTTCTTTTTTTTTAAGATCTGAAACAAACAATGTTAATTCTTCATCTATAGCTAAAAAAATATTTTCTGCAGCTTTTTTATAGTTTAGATTTCATGTAGAGCTATTTTCTTTATAGTGATTGCTATGAAATGACTTTTTTTTATTGTTTGTATTACAGATTTGATGTTTGATAATTATATTGAAACTTTAAACGGAGATTTGCAATTACGGATAGTAATAAGCATTTCTATAGTCAGGAAAAAAGCAGTTCATTGGAGAAATGGCTAAATGGTATTGAGTTTAGCTACGAGTATTAAAGTTCTGTATTTGAATTCTTCTAACTACTGCAATACGTCCTATATCTCTGTCAAAGGCCGTCATCTGCTCAGATACATATACTAATGTCATCCATTATTACTATGTAGATCATAGTGTATATTCTGTTCTGCTCTCTTTATACTTGGTTTTTTTTATATCAGTCAATTTTTGAAATTCACATGTACTATCTTTGATCTCGTTTGATTATTCGGTACGAATACATATTTTATGAATAAAAGAAGACGAATCAGATGGAAGTATTCCAGAAAGAGATTTGCTATCAATAGGAGATAGCAGTAAAGGATGTTGATTATTGAAATATAAGTGAAAAAGATGAACGAAAACTACTATGAATGTTTCACATTTGAAAGATGTCTCTGATCAAGATCATAAACGTTATAAACAAAAAAGATAATCGTTTTACATTAAATAATAAAGGACTAAAAAAAGGATATCTTTTATCGGCTGTGAGATAATAAAGAGAAATAAGTTATTCAAATATTGCATTAAATCCAAGTTACTTTCAATAGATTCCTGAAAAGCCTGAAATGCTTTTTTTTCTGACATATTTAACTAATTTTGAATATTTTCATAGTATAATAATCAAACATCTTACTTTCATATGATCGATAAGGAAATGGACAAACGACAAAATTATTTTCGTCATATTTAATGAACAGATAATAATATTTAAGATGTTCTTGTATATCATTCAAATGAACATGAATTTTATTTTTTACCCATCAATATACTATTTCATACAAGACAGGTTAGTCGGATATGGAAATGTATCATGAATTAGATTTGAGAACTCATAATATGAGTAGATGTTCAATAGGTCTCTCCAATATTTTTGTCTTCAAAGTCTCAACAAATTCAAAATAAATATTTGAGTGTAGGTTAGTAAAAATGGAATAAACACAGTGAAGGAGAAATTAGTCAATACCTTTCAAAGTGATTTCTAAATTTTGTACAAAAAACTTCAATAGCTACACATGGAATAATTTAGTTTTTAAGTACATAGTATTTTCATCCTTCGAATCAGTCGTATATACACACATCTAAATTTATTAAGAAGAAAAAAAAACATACTCACTGAAAGATTTAGATATCAACAGTGTAAAAACAAAACTAGATTTTTTCCTTTCAAATATTCGTTTCACAAGCTGTCGATTAGAAAATTTTCCTTCTTATTCATATATTGCTCTTTAATGTATGACATAAACAGTAGTTTTTAGAGAATGAGTCTCTAATTTAGAGTATCCATTACAATAAATTCACTTCATTGTTCGACAAATATTCTTATGGTAACTACGTAAAATATAATTTTTTTTTCTAGCCAATTATCAGATGTCAACCGCTCGAAATGAAATACGTGAAAAAGTACTTGCTCATCTCATTTCAATGACTGAACAACTCAAATATCTTCAAGTTGAACGATTCGAATGGCTTTTACATGTTGTTCAATATGTAAGGTTTTTTACTTGTGGTTTTATTTTAAATTCTCGAATATACTTCGGTTATATATAATTGATTTGAATATATTCAAGTCAAACATTTATATTGTGTTCCTCATATATATTCATAGACAAAATGACTGAACTCATCAGTTAATTAAGAACTCAAAAACCAACAATTCCGAGGAGAGAAAATGGACTCGACACACGCAGTCAGAGTCACAACGCTTTTGATCGTGACAAAAAATGTTGATCACTTGGTTTGTATTTGAGCTAAAAATGTCCAGTTGAAAACAAAAGGATAAGCAAATGGAATTGTTTTATTTGTCGAAGTAATAACAGTAATTGTCTCTACTTTATTAATAGACAAAAAAGAAAATATTAATGTAAATCTAAAGTGAAAAAGTAATTCGAACCTACTGAAAAATACAAGAATTAAAATCACCTCGATAATCGAGACAGGCAGATCCAGGTAGTTCAAAAAGATCTGTAAAGTGATTAATTTATATTTGAACTACATTGTTATTCCAATATTGGATAATTATCTTAGGGATACTATTAACGAAGAGCGATTGCCATTAATACTTTGTATCTCTACATCTGTCTTCGGCAAAGATTATTGCTGGGACAAAACAAAAAATGTTTTATGATTGGTCCATCAATGTAGTGTTGTTAAACTCTCTTTCGTCTTAGTTTAATAAATGTATTTTGATCTAATGAATCCAATTCTAATAGATCAATATAATTTATTGCTTTTTTTTGTTGTTTTTTCTATTTAGGCATCTAATGAACTAAGAACAAACGCATTAATTACTGTTCGATATGCTGCATTTTGTCTTCCAAGTTGTCATTGCGGTTACGAAACAGTTAATCTTGGCAAACATCTTGTACCTTTTCTTAGCACATATATGCCTCATTTACAAACATTGTGTCTTTGGCGACCAGATGATTTTCCTTGGACATCTAGTAAGTTTATTTTAAGCAAAGAAAAGTGGTCACATAAAATTTCTTATTGATATATGATATATATCAGTCTATTTTTTGTTTACTTAATTTTGAATTTTATTTTGTCCTTTATTAGTCAAACACGTATTTTTATAATGATGCACAGTTCACTTGAATGAAAAAGTGCTCTTTTCAATACCAATTATACTCACGTTAGGGATGCACCAATTCCGACTCCAATCATTTCCAGTGAATTCTAAGAATTAGAATTGATGTATCCATAACTCACGTCTTATCTTGTTGTACGACATAAGATTTATAATTATGTAATATAGACTCGAGATTTGAGAACTACGATCGAATGTTTTGAAAACTATTGTTTTATTTTCGTAGTCTTTAAACAACAAATAATGGTTGCACTTTTTGAACGGATTTATTTTCTGTTTTTGTAACTAAACTTGATAAAGAATATGATATCGTATTCATTATTATGGAATAATTATGGAAAAATTTAGCAATTATTTGTAATAAAAATGATTTGAATTGAGAAATTTTCTATAGAAATATTCTTCTAATTTGTTCATTTCACTATCTTAAATATCCATTTTAAATTTATAAAGAAAGAAGATAGATAAATAAATATAAAGATGTATTTATTCCGTTGAATAACATTTGTACCTACTGTGCTTTTTCTAAAGAAAAGAAAAATAGAAAATTAAGAAAATTTCTATTTTCGAAATCTAGATCAAATTCACAATGCTTTCAAAATTTGTTCGTTGAAAAGTAAAGTGCTTAGGAGAAAATGACATGAGTGAAAGTTCTGTCTACAGTATATTTTTTCCTCTATCGTATTGAGCAAACAACAAAATAGGTTGTGAAATAACAACTTCTTTTCCTAAATATCTGTTTCAAATCCTTAAATATTTTTTCACATTATACATAAGAAAATTCACATTTGATTCGACTATTTACTAAAGAAAAAACTACCCGATAAAACTTATCTATTTGAAAAGAATATGAAACAACTTTTTTTGAAAAAGAAACGTAAATAATAAAGAGGATCTCTTGAGATGATCTATTTTGTTCAATAAAGAAGTAGAAAACTATTTGCGTTCGTAACTTTTATCTATTTTACGAATTCATACTGTCTCACTGTTTTTTTTTCTGTAATCAAGTTCGGCCGGTTTGCAGAGGACGACGCGCTCGTATGGTTTTAATTCGACAATGGCTAGAATCTCTCACAACACCGGAATCGATAGGTATATATAAATAGAACAATTTTATACACGAAAATAAATTAATAATATAATTCTTTGTTTTAGCTCAACATGTAGCTGTTTTTCAACAAGATATTTGTCAGTTGGTTGAAAAATTAAAAGAATTTACCTTTCTCGATATTTATGGAGAAATTCTTTACGAAAAGGTTGAATCTTATCGGTCAATGGTTCAAGCTCGCTTTCCTAATAGTCGAATAGATGTTGGAATAGCAAGATTTCGTCTTTGGCTTTAATTTTCTGCTTGTTACATGCAACAGATGTGTGTTATAGACAATTATCATAGCTAACTATTTGATTTTTTTCTCTGCTTGTCTTTCTTTAATATTAAAAACTGTAAATATTCGTATCGAATAATAAAACGTTGATATTGCTTTTCAAAAAATATTTTCCCATTTGTTAAAATATTAATTATAAATGAAACAAAAATGAACTTAAAAACAATCGATTTTCTACGTATCTAATACCTTGCTGTGGTTTTGTATAATGTTCAGAGTCACTACCAAGATGAGCAAAGTAGGGAAACAAATGGTGTCTTTACACCTTTACATGTAAAAAGCATACCTTTTGGCGTATTAAAATACCTTCTCTGTATTTTTTTTTAAAATAAGTAGTGATTTAAGAACGGGCCTTTTTTTTCAAAAATATTGAAATATTTTCGTGCGTAAAAAGTAAATCAGAAAATCCAATGCCTCCAACTATGAATCTTATGATTAATTGACAGAGTCCTGTGCGGATTGAATTTTTCAAACACGCATCCGACCTAACTCGACAAAGTGTAGCTGGAATCCAACCACATTCATAGGTGAGTATTGGATTGCTACAGAACTATAATGTAGATTGATTTAATTTATCAGTCAATCATTATATTAAACGAATCTATACTTCTAAAAGAAAGGAAGGGGGCGATAAGCGATGAAATCGGCCTCCTCTTAAAATCGAACTTTTTATTTTCCAAATAGTTAATTTCAATGTCAGGAACCGATTGTCGTTTGAATTAGACCTATTAGTCCCTTTTCTGGCTATATGAGCCTGACTTAAAACTCGAGATCGTGTAGCACGTATAAGGTCATATTATGACCTGTCTATACGCAAAGCTTGTCTACTGTCTTTAACTCTTTTCAGATTGAGTTATATACCGAATGAAAGCTCTTTCGTTCTTCTTTCGAATGGTATATAACAATATGGAAAAATATTTTTCTTTGAATTTTTCCTCTGGATACTACTGTTCGCTGCTGTATATAGTATGACGACAGTCATAATAAAGATCCTCTCCTCTTGTACTATGCAGATAGCGGTCCAGTTTGAATTTCATACCATTCGATAGCCCTTTAAAAGCTCTACAAAATGAGACTATTATAATAAGTTTATTTTATGAGTAAGATACTTTGTTGACGTACACAATGCTCACAGATGCCAAAAGTCGATATTTTTGGTTAATATCTGTCCAGTTTACTCTTAAATGGCTAGACTTCCTACTCAAAAAAACTTTATATTCGAAATCAGCATAAAAAGCTAATTCGATCGGGTATACGAAAATTGGTCGAACGAAAAAAGATAGAACGAAAATTCGCCGCCGATAATTGATCGCTACGAAAATTGGTCGCTACGAAAATTGATCGCTACGAAAATTGGTTGATATGAAAATTAGTCGCTATGTAAAATAGTCGACACATTCATGACTAATTGAAAACAACTATTTGAAAGTGAAACTTTTAGAGACGAAAAAATCAAATAATGATAAAAAAGTGACAAAAGTGATAATAAGCCAATTCTCTATATTATCACAAATTACGGATTTTTTTTTCTGAACTATATTCATCAATATAGGATTTTAATTACCTCAAGAAAAAATATATTCTCTTAATAAGGCATTTTATTATAAGCTTAATTTCTTTCTGATTAGATTAGGATTATGAGTAGGTTATATAACACAAAATATTATAATATTTCACCTTTCTTTTCGCTAAAATGTCAACATTTGTACTAAGCAAAACTCAAAGAAACAAACCTTTATTACTCTCTAATGGCTTCAGCTATACTATCGACAAAAGAACTGATGAAAAAATTTATTGGAAATGCGAATCTGCACAATCATTTAAATGCAAAGGTCGAATTCATACTAATTCTCTTAGTACTATTATATTACATGAAACTAAAAATCATAATCATCTTGGAAATGCCGTTTTAAGTGAAATTAGAATATTTGAAGAAAAAATTCGTGATCGTGCTATTAATTATAATGAATCTACACAAACTGTTATTGATAATTGTTTAATGAATTTATCGGATAATGCTGTAGCACGTATTCCAAACTTTAAACATATTAAGAATTGTGAACGTTGATAAGAATTTATACATTTTTTGCACCACTTTTAAATTCATATTTATTTCATTTTTTTTTGTATCTATCTTGCTAATATTTATTCAATAATTTGTTTTGTTTAACTTTCTTTCATTAACATAATTATTGTTAGTTTCGTATTCTCATTATAAGTTTGTCGACTAATATTTGTATCAACCAATTTTCGTAGCGATCAATTTTCGTAGCGACCAATTTTCGTAGCGACCAATTATCGGCGGCGAATTTTCGTTCTATCTTTTTTCGTTCGACCAATTTTCGCTTTCCCAATTCGATCCATGTATTTTGTTAGAAGTTCCATTGACTTTCATTTTTTTTCGAAAAATTAAGCTGGGATCCCCCTCAAGGACATGTCAAAAAATGAAAATCGTCCTAAACATGAATCTCATTGTCGAAACTGACTTTTAATCATCAAAAAGCTAAGAAAATGCAAAATGAAACATCAACGAATAATAAGATTAACGTTTTGAGTGATTTCAGTTTTCGACGTGTCCTTGAGCGGGACCTTAGCTTAGTTTTTTGAGGATGTGGGTGTGGGTGGGTGTAGGTGTGGGTGTGTGGGTGTGGGTGTAGGTATGGGTGTGAGTGTGGATGTGGGTGCGCGTGTGGGCGGGGGTGCGGGTCTTATTCTCACCCACAGCTACACCACCACACCCACACCCACACTCCACACCCACACCCACACTTCACACCCACACACCCACTCACACCCTCACCTACACCCACACCCACCCACACCCACACCTCCCGCCAACCCACACCTCACACCCACCCACACCCACACCCACACACCACCCACCCACACCCACACACCAACCACCGACACCCACACCCATACCCTTTAGTTCTTCGAAGACCATTAACATCTTCAAGATATCTAAGGAATCAATTTCACTCAAAATTTTGCGAAAATTTATTTGAGTAAAAAGAAAAAAAATAGAACTCATGAATTCGATATGTTCGAGATCGTTTGAAGATGCGAACCTCATTTACTAATTTGTCTGACAGACAAATTATCATAGTAAATCATGCTATCAACGTTGGATTTCCAATGATCTTCGCTTCCTCCACGAAATCTATTTTGAAAAAAGTCAAGTAAAGTACTTATAGCAAAAGCATTCTGAAATAAAACTCACGTGTGAAAAGACAAATTGTTAATAAGTCGTTTACTGTCATTGGTTGTCCATCGGATGCTCTGATCAATTAGCGTTTCTCCGTTGATTTTTATTTGGACATGTCCATTGGCATTGTTACCAGTGTTTGATTTGACATACATATGAACTCTGTACAGCTTGCCTTTTTCAATACTACCTAAAGTTAAGAAAGAGTACGTTTTTATATTCACCCTTTCGCAATCATTGATGACATTTTGTACTGAATCATCAAATGATCTGGTAAGAAATTTTAAAGATTTCTCGGTTGTGTTTCGATACTCTATGGGGATAATTCGTGCTCAAAAACATGTCGAATGGAGAAGTAATCTCGAATAGTGACTACTCCAAACTAGCGGTGATTCTGAATATAACTTTCCTTAAGAATAAGAACTCATACCAGTTGATGGATACGATTTGCCAAACTTGTCTCCACACTGCCCTGGCATACCATAATAATAAACATATGGAATGAAATAGACTCGTTTATTATCATTGTACCACATTAAACGTAGAGTTCCACCCGCTCCATCTTTTGGGGGATTGCATCCTGTATTTCGATTTCCGATGCCGAAACCGAAACCGACTTTTCCACCACGACTCCAGTCGAATTGACTGTGAAACCGAACGTCAAAATCCAACTCATATGCAGAACCATCTGGGATTCTTGTATTGGATATGATACCGCTTTCCCCACCCAATGCGTTTTTTCGTAAAGTGATACGCAATTTCCCGTCTGAGATCGATGCACGATCGTTTTTCCATCCGCTGACCGAACCAAAGTCAGCTTTGGCCATAGCATCTGTATATTGACCTTGGGCACGATTGTCCCAATTGATCGATTTCTGATAGAGTTGTGTTGACACTGATTTAAATAAACAAAGAGAAGTACTCATATGGAAGTATATGTTTATTTAATTTACCAAAATCAAACAGTATCAACGAAAGAACAACTGTCACGGCTAAATTCGTCGTAATTTAATAAAAGCATCCGTTATATGCACTTTATCGAGTCACAAAAAACAATGAGATACCTGTAGTTGTAAATAGCTTCATTCTATGGGAGCGATCGCTGCGTTTGACGATAAATTACGAAGAAAATCGAATAGGCAAAACATTTATTCAGAAAATAAATCTCCCTGATTAACATAGCAGTCAAATGATCACGAACGCATCTGGCAAAGCTTCATCAAATATTTTCTTCGTGAGTGTGTGCAATAACACTTGTTGTTTTCTTTAAGTGTAATTACTTTGTCTCTCCTTCTATACGAATACATATAGTCAGATGTTAGCTATATGTTTTCGATCGATTCACTGATATGAAGTAACAATGCACTTTTATTTGTGTGCTTGATTGTAGTGCGTGGAACTATGGGTGCTTCCTTCCATCTGATGAAACAGACAACTGAATCTTGATCTTTTCTTCAAGACGATCATTTTTTTTGAAAAAGAAAACAAAATTAACAAGAATTTATTGTGAAGAATGAAAAAGAAATTATTTAGATTAACGATCCTTCTCTTGATAGTATAAATTGAAGTTTATATGGATCAGTCACTCAGATTTTTGGAACTCTCTAAATCTTGATACGTTGATGATGTACAGTTAGATCTCGCATCTGGCCAATCTAAAGTAAGGCCATCTGCAGCAAACACGTAAGTGCTGCTTGTTGTCATGAATCAACTTGTAGTAGTTACACATTATGAGCTATAGACTCTGATTAGAGAGCAGAATTGTTTGACATTATTCGCAATCTGTATTTGAAAAAAGAGAAGTAAGTATAAGGGAGAAAAAGCGAATCCCGGTATCCTTTGTATCCTGTGGGTGTGGACGTTGTTTGGATGTGGGAATGGTTATAAAGACAAT